GGGCTGTCAGCGTTAGCGGATCCGTCGAAAGCCTGAATTTCATTTTTCCAAAGACTTGGAAGACAACAAAATACTGTTGATTCTCTTATTTAATGATCATCATCATTCTGGCTGTTAAAAGGCCCTCAGAGGCAAACCGCAGCACCTGGGGCTGGGGTGCCCGTGTACAAGTTTCCTCCTTCGGCCAAGGGGTTGGGGCTGTTAGGGGCCTCTTGGCCCGTGGCCCGGATTTTGGGGGCGTGTTTGCAGCGTGCGCGCCAGCGACTGGGACGGTGACAACAAAGCGGCAGGCAGACCCGCTGCCCCTTCCCCGGCTCTGACCCGGGCAGGGAGGTGACTTTAACCGGCCCTTACCCGTTCCCTCCACCAATTGCCACACCCTACTCCCTGCCGGTCCCTCCTCCCACCCTTCATTTCTCCCTCTCTCTGCGCAGGAAACAGAAATCCCAGGGTGTGTATGTCTAATTCATGAGGGACAGCGTTGCCAGAGGGCTGGGGGTTGCCTTTCGGTCCAGCTGCCCGGATGCAGGGAACCCTGGCTCTTGCAGGGAGCACTGAAACTTGCAACCCCTTCAAGCGGCCGGCCTGGCTGTGGTGTGACCCCACTCCGGTGGTGAGTGGGCGAGGTTCAGCTTACCAGCAGTCTGGACTCTCCCGGGCTCTGAAAACCGCCCTGGGTTCAGTCTCCCATGGCTTGACTCCCCCGCTTCCGAACCAGACCGCCTGGGTGCCCAGAGGGGACCGGGGGGGCCTGGGACATCCTGGCCCAGGGCTGCGGGAGGCACGTTTGGGGAGGATGGCCGGGCCTGGGAGCGCTGTTTTCCTAGGGCCTGGGGAAGAGGGTGCTGTGTTGTGTGCTCTGAGAAAGCTTTGTGGTGGTGGAATGGGAGTGTGTAGTTTTGGAAATGTAGCTTTCCCAGGCTTGGGGTGGTGGGAGCTCCCAGCCGAGGGGAAAGGTGGGGGGAATGGCCGTCACACTCTTGGCAGCTGATTTAGGGGAACCCCTTTCTTAAGCCACCGCCTCTTACTGGTCGCCTGGCGTGACCTTAGGCAGCTTTAACTCTGCTCCAGTACAAGATCTGAGCTGAGAGGAGGCGGCTTGGGGAATGCGCTGAATAAAATGGCAACATTCTGAAGGGAAGAGAAAAAGCGACCATCTTACAAGCAAAACAAAAGAAAAGAAAGACTTAAGCCTAAGTAGAGTGAAAACAAAACTCTATCATTGCAAAATAAGACCGCAAAAGATAATAGGTAAATAAAGGTACCATTTTTGTTGGGTTACCATTATCATTCTTTGATGAGGGTAGCTCATGGTTCAGAACCTTTATCCACCATAATCAAAGTAAATTATTTCTTTATAGACATGGCCTACCTCCCGTTAGTGTCTCCAGGGTTGGGTGAATTAGGGAAAGGAAGCCCTGTGCCCAGTGTTCAGTAACATACTATTCACTAAAATGAGTTGCTGTTTATACAATGTTTAGAACATCTCCCGCTGTCTCAAAGCAGGCATTTGCAGTTTTCAACACCATCATCATAATTATTCTTGTAGAAATATTAGACTTTGTTAGCTGTCATAGGGGTTTCCTATCCTAGGCAACAAATACACTAACAAAATCAAACATGATGTTAAGTCTGGATGGGAGGAAAATGACGGGAGGGAACAGGAGCACTTATTTTATAGAGATAAAATCTTACAGCACATATTTATATAGAATTTTTTAGTTTGTTATTTCTGAAGGAATTTCTCATATAACTGTCTATTGTTTAATGTTTTAAACATGTATGTTTCTTCTTTGGTAGACTGCATGGACTGTCATAAGAGACCCAGGTGCCAAAAATGATGCCTAAGTAAATAACTAGTTCTTTGAAAAATACAAATAGAATCTGGGCCAGCTTTCTTGTCTGTTATTTTGGCAGTTCTGTTGCTATACGCGAAGTCAGCAGGTGTATCTTTAACTTTGTCAGACATAAAATCCAGTGGAAGCCTATGAAACACACTGTTTACCTTTTTAAGAGAATGGTGCTCTTTGGGACTCAGATCAGACTAAGAAGTAAATTAGATTTTGTCCTGATGCACTGTAAACAGATTTTGTTTCTTTTTCAGATGGAATTATACAATGTAAGGCAGGTATTGATGTTTTTTAAACTTTTTTTTTTTCCTGAAAAACACCACAAATCATGTCATCTGGACAGAGATTCTATCATTTATTTTTAAACATTAATGGTAATTAAAGTTCTTAAAGAAACATTTCCAAAAATATTTTTCAGTAGTGTCCTAAAATGAATATGTGTTTAAACATCATTACAGCCACACTATGACATTTCCATCAGTACTCCCATTTTTAGGTAGTCTTATTGCTTCTGTTCCTTTTGTGGTACAACATTCTTAATGAAAGTAACACTTTCTTTAATTTTTCATGTTTAAAATTTATAATGGGCATGCAAAATGATGTCTGTTGCCAAGGGAACTTTTAATACACCACGTGTAGGCTACAGCGTGTTGGAGTTGTTAGTCAGGAATCAGTGCCATCATCTAATAACTTTATACAAAGGATGTCAAGAGCAACTGTGGGTTTTTTTTTTCATGATCTGTTATTCCTGGAAACTATTCAAGAGGAGCATACAATAACACAAGGATAGAAGAATGGCTCTTTGTTTAAAGGGAGAATTTAAAATAGACCATTTGATCAAAATGCAGTGGTAAGAAGTTAACTCCTTGGCTGATTTGGAAATTAACTCATTGACTGCTTCATGCTTGGAGGGCAAAATAAAAGACAAAGTAGTGAATGGTGTAGAGAAATTGGTCCAGTAAGATTTGTTTCTGTAATATTGAGTTATAGATAATTTGACTTAAATTTCTAGATGATTGGTAAAAAAGAGATTTTCCTCATTTACCTTCTACTTGGACCACAGTGCTCATAAATTTATATTTTTCAAATGCTGACTGTGATATTCTATTAGAAAAACTATTTTTAGTCTATAATCATTTAAATAGCTTTTCAGAATGAAATTCGTGCACTGGGTAGGGGTGAGGGGGAGTGTCCCTCAGCCCAGCCTGTCCCCTCTCACATACTGGGAGCCCTCAGGCATTGACCCCCATCAACCCCCAATCGCAGGATCGGCCCCCTGCGTCAGGCCTGGGCAGGGCACCCACAGCTCCCCGCGGTTACAGGCTCCGCCCCTGCCCCGGCCTAACGCCTCTGGCCGAGGCGTCCTGCCCGGGCAGTGGGGACCCGCAGCAGCAGCGGCCCTGCGATCGTGGACTCCGCTTTAGGCCCAGGCAAGGGACCCCTAGTTCCTGGGACTGCCAGCTTTGACCTTGCCCAGCTCCCATCGCTGGCTCCCCCCCTACTTCCTGCTATCACTGGCCAGGGTGACAAAGGCGCCTGATTCGCCGATCAGGGCTGGGGGGCAGGGCAAAGGCGGCCCTGGGGGCTCTTAGCGCCCCCCTGGGATTCCGATCACTGTCAGTAGCAGGGGGCTTCTTCCTGCTTTCCCTTTCGCCTTCCTGCATTGTGCCTACATATGCAAATTAACCGCCATTTTGTTGTCAGTTAACTGCCATCTGAGTTGGCAGTTAATTTGCATATAGCCCTGATTAGCCAATGAAAAGGGTATCATCGTACGCCAATTACCATTTTTCTCTTTTATTATATAGGATGTTTATATCATTTAATATAATACACTGTACAATACACATTACCAATAATCTAAACTACATGTGGAGGTTGGATTGACTGTCTTCCTTTGTGGATGTGTTTGATAGACATGTGTACACTTTTATTTGGAGTCATTCCCAGTAATCCTTTTCAGAAGGTATAATCTCAATCTTCTGTCTTCTTTCATCTTTTGAGAAAACATCAGTTCCATTGAAATGGGAAGGAACACTTCATTTGCTTTTAGAATATATTACAGACCATATAAGAAGAATAAAAGAGTTTCTAATGCACTTTATTTCTCTGGATATAGCCTCTGGATACAATAAATAACATTTCTGGCAGTAAGCACACTATATATCCTTTCCTATAGGGAATTGAAATTAGGTTAAATTAAAATGTAGAAACAGTCACATATCCTAAAATGCATAGATAAATTTTATCAAGGCTTTCAGCATAATTTCCTCTTCATGAACTTACTGTTCCAGGAAACTTATCCTGCTCATTGCTCCTCTAATGTACTATAGGCCTTCCTGCCCCCTTCTTTTTTTCTAGGCTGTCTATGTACGTCTTATTCTGAGGGCTTGGAGAAGAGTTGTGGATTATCTTGCTCAATATTCGGTCCATCCTGGATAGCACAGTTTATGGAAAGTTTTTATTATCAAATCAATTTTGTCAACATTTATTGAATGCCTCCTTTGGGTAAGAATCTGTGCTAAACACAGGTGTGGTTTCCTAGAACATGTGCATCTTTCTGTTTCATATTAGTATTTGGTTTAGTTAAACAGTTGCTTTTGTGTCACTTTTTATTTTCCTCATTCTCAAGTCATTGCTGGGAGCTAGACTAGAAGGGCATTGTAATAATCTAATGAACACGGATTGCTCAGATAATATGGGGGGGGGAGATAAATTCTATCTATCTATCTATCTAATTCTATTATTTTCATAAAAGTAGCTGTGGCTGAATATTACTCAAAGATCCCTGGATTAGTTAGTTGTGCTTTTCTTTTAAAGTTAAAATAAATGATTGACTAAGGGAGCTTTGGAAAAGGCACTGTAAAGTAGAGAGGGCAGTGAAAGAACGGGTGTTTCAGACGGGTTAAGAAGGGGATACACTCATTGAGGGGAGTGGGAGACTGAGATGGAGTGGAGGACAAGGTCATTGGAGGAGTGGAGTCCAGAAAAACGGCAAGGCCAGGAGTGAAATAATCGCCTCTATGATTACTGATATGACAAAGAACCATGGCAAAGATTGGAGAGTGACAGTGAACCTGCTGCTGATATCTTTAGGAAAGGACAGGGCTGCCTGGGCTTAAAAGCTAGGGATTTTTAGAGGGACGGACACAGTTGCCTGTAAAATTGTAAATGTAAAGTCCCAACTATGGGTCCTATAGTCTCTATTTAGTATGTACACAACATAGGAGACACTACTTAAAATAGTTTATTGTGGGGGATGGGAAAGTTGAGGGTTGTCATTAACTAAATATGAGCTAGTGCTATAGTGCTATTACTAAAATAGCTTATGCAATTTTTGGTAGTGTTAATAGAAAGTCTGGGGTGCACATTAGATGAGGTAGTTTCCCTAGATTCTGTTCTAGGCGGGTCAACATCAGAGTCTTGTACTAAATGATGTGAGCCATACTTCGTGAGATGTTAGTGAGCTAAAAAATGGTGAGGGCAGCATGACTAGATTGGTGAGGCTTCTAGAGAAAATGCCACTTGAGAAATGGCTGAAGAAATTAAGAATTTTTAGCCAGAAGAAAAGAAGAATTCAAGGAGATCTGAAAGTTAAGTT